GGTTTTGGCGTTACGCTCACCGAACGTGTGCTCGAAGAAGGATGCGTGGCTCCTGGACATATAATCCTTGACCACGGGCTGGGCCCGCCCAAACTTGTATATGCGCTGCGAGACTTTGTAGCCGGCGGCGAAGCCCAGACCGGGGAACAGCGAGCGGTAGCGCGCGAACACGGGCTTCTCGTACGCGTCACGGAAAATGACCTTGTTGATGCCCGCGACGCCGTGCATAGCCTCCTTGTTGGTCATGAGACGCTTGGCAATCGTATCCACGGGGTGGAAAATCATAAGTTCGCATAGACCAGAGCACGTAGAGCCCAGCAGACGCGCTGCCACGACGCCACCGGTAGTGGCCTTCTTGTCATTTGCGATAGCTACCATTGCTGCGGGTGATGTGAGTCTGGGGGTCTCTGTAGGACGAGGGAAGAGCGAGAATGACGATCCGGACCTGTGTGGTCTTGGAAGGTTTGACGTTAGGTTTGTCACGCCGTCCAATACACGACGTTTACTGAAGTTGAAGTTTGAAACACCGCTATTGCACCCGTCTCAATGACGTTCTTTTTTCAATTTGTTTCAGACGGTAGCGGTAGAAAGTCTGTTACGCCCGATAAGTCGGTCGTTGTAATGTTTTGCGGTTAATTCATCTGAATTGCAAGCACATCGTTCACGCAAGGCTGAAGCAGGAGGACAAGCATGGGAGCACCAACCAATTGACAGTGAGGGAGCACAAGCTCTACGTATATTGGTCGCAGCGGAGACTGTCCAGCGGCGCAGATGCTCACAGCTTATATCGCTACAATGGTTCACGTTGTAGCCGGGGGTGAGCAGTGCTCACTGAGCACTCACCGCAATACCCTGGTCCGCAGGCATTCCGAAATAATCATTGTATTGCTGCTTCAATACAATACGTAGTTTACACTTAATTATTGATTTTTACAAATTGGATGACTTTTTCCAATTACATGTAGTTATTTTGTATTTACAACAAAGTACTTTATTTTTTCGTAAAATTTAGTTTTTTCTGCTTTGTTTTGCGTAAATACGGAGCTCAGCAACGGTCGCTCAAAACGCGAACCTGAGGCGCTCGTCTATCATTTTTGATCTTACCATGGCTCTCGCCAACACCTTCACGACCAAGCAAGTCTGCAGCTACTTTTTTACTGCCAGCTTGGCGACTTCCAGTCGGCCACCATGAAGCTTCAAGACGACAACGTAACGCTTCTCGATGTGCGCGATATCTTTGATGCGCTCATCGAGAAGCATTCCGTTGTGAAAAAGTATCTTGCTGCCGACGCAAATATTGTTAAGGACGTGGACTTCGAGCGAGCGTGCGTTGTAGCCCTGTCAGGCGCCGTGGACGAGCTGACGAACGACCAGGAGCTGATGTTGCAGCCATTTGAGACGGTACCCGCAATTACGACACCGGACACCAGGCACGGACGCCCACAGGGCTTTGCCGACAGAGTCTTGGCGACTAGAAAAAAGCGGCGCGGTGCAAAGAAGGTATTTGATGGTGTGCTTTTCATCCCGCCGACGTCAAACACCGTGGAGCGTCTTTTTAGTGTGGCGAAACA